CCAAGTTATTGATTCATTAGTCTGTGCTGTGCCGTCTCCATCCTTTCTCGCACAGCTGGCTGTCCCTTTCTCTGCACTCCTCCCTCGTAACAAATAGTGAACTGTGTCAAAATTTTAATGACAGTTTCTTAAAGAACTTTTTTGGTGGAGTCCGGAAAATTGTCAAATATAAGAAAGCTGTTGGGTATTAGTAAATGATAAACATGTGTACTATTTACATTTATGTGGCAATTTTGTACAATGATAAAATTTGCAATTCATCGGTCCGTTTCTGACTCAAACGGACTGTAATTGTTTGATCGGCTTTCTAGAAGTTGGTGAGTCCCAAATTAACCATACAACTTAATGGATGGCATCATCTTATGTATTGCACAGAGCGACGATGTAGACTCTTACAACGTTATCAAGCTAAATGCTTCACTTCATTCCTCATCCAAACGTCGACATCGAAACGTCGCTCTATGCAATAAATAAGAAGTTACCTTCCACAAAGTTGCATGTTTCATTTCATCTAAATGTAGTTCCTCGTTTCTTTCAAAGTATCTGTATTTTCAGATATGAAGTGTTAGTCTACTTCTGTCTGAGAAAGCTAAACTTTGGTAAAGCGACTTTACTTTATATACTACTTTCGCTACAACTGCTACAACATTCTAACAGACGAGTGTCTGGTTATATACTCTATATATTTCGAAACTCTTTGGCATTTCGACTTATTGGGCTTGTTTAAATTCTGGCACAAACAATGTTCTATTCTCGGAGGGAAGGTGGCAAGGAAAGCCCTGAACTGATTTTATTTCTAAACCATTTTTAGAAAATGTTGATATCGTTTTGCCAGACCCAAAAATACTGTTTAACGATCCATAACGGTGTTGTCAAAGTGAACTGAGTGCGAAAGGAGATTTTTAAAGCATACTCCTCTGTTTTTACTTCCTCCTGGTCTTTATGCCTGAACGTTCCACATGCTTCTGAGATATAGCGATAAGAAGATGTTCTGAAGAAGTGGCACTCCCGGGATGTATGTACACGCGGGAATACCAAGAGGCTTCTCTTCAAATGGATACAGCGGCTAAAGTGAGCGTTTATACTATCATATATTGCCGCCGTGGTCGACTCTCGTGGCGTTAGAAGACGTACATGATGAAAGAAACGGCTTTGATGTGTTGTTATTACGTGTGTGTGTGTGTGTGTGTGTGTGCGTGCGTGCTGTGTGCGTGCGTGCTAAAAGCTTACTACGCTTTCGGACATAAATATCGGAACTGTACGAAATATCAGACGAGTTGAGTGTAACACCGCCTTTAGCAATATTCTACCAATATCAGTGTACGGGGGAAAACACTTCAGCGAGACGAGCGAACACTTGAACTACTGGGCTGTATATTGTCGTATTGCCAATATTCCGCTTATCACTAGGTGAAAGAAGGACTGGTTATGAGTGAGTGGGTGAGTGAGTGAGTGAGTGAAAGAAGTGGATTACAGGGGGTGAGTAGAAGTGATTACAAAGGGTCAGTTTTAGTGGAAGTAGTGAATTACAAGAGGTCATTTGTAGTGAAAGTTGTGGATTACAGGAGGCCATGTGTAGTGAAAGTTGTGGATTATAGAGGGTCAGTAGTAGTGAAAGTTGTGGATTACAGGAGGTCATGTGTAGTGAAAGTTGTGGATTACAGAGTTTTAGTGAAAGTAGTGGATTACAGAGGGTCAGTTGTAGTGAAAGTAGTGGATTACAGAGGGTCAGTTGTAGTGAAAGTAGTGGATTACAGAGGGTCAGTTGTAGTGAAAGTAGTGGATTACAGAGGGTCAGTTGTAGTGAAAGTAGTGGATTACAGAGGGTCAGTTGTAGTGAAAGTAGTGGATTACAGAGGGTCAGTTGTAGTGAAAGTTGTGGATTACAGAGGGTCATTTGTAGTGAAAGTAGTGGATTACAGAGGGTCAGTTGTAGTGAAAGTAGTGGATTACAGAGGGTCAGTTTTAGTGAAAGTAGTGGATTACAGAGGGTCATTTGTAGTGAAAGTAGTGGATTACAGAGGGTCATTTGTAGTGAAAGTTAGTGGATTACAGAGGGTCATGTGTAGTGAAAGTTGTGGATTACAGAGGGTCAGTAGTAGTGAAAGTAGTGGATTACAGAGGGAGGTGAAAGTAGTGTACAGAGGGTCATTTGTAGTGAAAGTTGGATTACAGAGGGTCATTTGTAGTGAAAGTAGTGGATTACAGAGGGTCATTTGTAGTGAAAGTAGTGGATTACAGAGGGACATTTGTAGTGTAAGTAGTGGATTACAGAGGGTCATTTGTAGTGAAAGTAGTGGATTACAGAGGGTCAGTTGTAGTGAAAGTAGTGGATTACAGAGGGTCAGTTTGTAGTGAAAGTAGTGGATTACAGAGGGTCAGTTGTAGTGAAAGTAGTGGATTACAGAGGGTCATTTGTAGTGAAAGTAGTGGATTACAGAGGGTCATTTGTAGTGAAAGTAGATTGAAAGTAGTGGATTACAGAGGGTCATTTGTGTAGTGAAAGTTGTGGATTACAGAGGGTCATTTGTAGTGAAAGTAGTGGATTACAGAGGGTCATTTGTAGTGAAAGTTGTGGATTACAGAGGGTCATTTGTAGTGAAAGTAGTGGATTACAGAGGGTCACTTGTAGTGAATGTAGTGGATTACAGAGGGTCACTTGTAGTGAAAGTAGTGGTTTACAGGGGTAATGTAGTAGTGGATTACAGAGGGTCACTTGTAGTGAATGTAGTGGATTACAGAGGTCATTTGTAGTGAATGTAGTGGATTACAGAGGGTCATTTGTAGTGAATGTAGTGGATTACAGAGGGTCATTTGTAGTGAATGTGAATGTAGTGGATTACAGAGGTCATTTGTAGTGAATGTAGTGGATTACAGAGGTCATTTGTAGTGAATGTAGTGGATTACAGAGGGTCATTTGTAGTGAATGTAGTGGATTACAGAGGTCATTTGTAGTGAATGTAGTGGATTACAGAGGTCATTTGTAGTGAATGTAGTGGATTACAGAGGTCATTTGTAGTGAATGTAGTGGATTACAGAGGTCATTTGTAGTGAATGTAGTGGATTACAGAGGGTCATTTGTAGTGAATGTAGTGGATTACAGAGGTCATTTGTAGTGAATGTAGTGGATTACAGAGGTCATTTGTAGTGAATGTAGTGGATTACAGAGGTCATTTGTAGTGAATGTAGTGGATTACAGAGGTCATTTGTAGTGAATGTAGTGGATTACAGAGGTCATTTGTAGTGAATGTACTGGATCACACGGACCAGTAGTAGTGAAGCCAGTGGATTACGTCACCATTATAGGTCCACTTACTGTGTCTGGTACTGTATTGTGTGATCGTTTGTCGTCAAGTGATGCACAAACACCATATTTCCGTTGTGAAGTCGTTGCCTCGGTAACGTTACTGTCAACGCCGATCACAAAGGTCACTCATTCTATGACAAGTTCATGACAACATAACATTACATAATCTACTTTGAGGTGGGAGTGTCACCAAATTAATGTCTAGACGAGATCAATTTAGTTTTGAATGTAGAACAAAAAATATCAAGGCACACACATCAAAAACTCAATTGTGAACATTTCAAAATATTTAAGATGGAAATAGACTCCATTTCCAGTGTTAAATGGGTCGCCGATGATGGGTCGCCTTCAATAGGTCTTTTCTGGGTCTGAAGTACAGCACAGTTTTTGAGCATGTCAAGCTGACTGAATGTTGGTGCAAGTCAACAAATAAGACAAGTAGGGCTGCTATTTATTGACTTAAACTGTAAACCCTTGTTAACGTTTATCGGTATATTTTTGTACGAAAACAAACGACATCTCCATCGTAGCAATACAAACAAATGAGTAAAAAGGTCATCTTGACATCCTAAAGATTTCTGAGCCATCAGCAGCATGTATCACTACGCGGTAAGATTCGAGATTACGAAGAAAGAATCCTTTGCAAGATGGGATATACTTTAAAAAGCATTTTCTGCTGTGTGTGCGTGCGTGTGCATGTGCGTGCGTGCGTGCGTGTGTGTGTGTGTGTGTATGCTTCGGGGTGGGAGGTAGGGGAGCGGGAGAACGGTGTATAACTCAAAATCCTTTTGGCGTGCGACACTGAGCTATTGTACGTCTTCCTATCTGTGCCCTTACTTAGTGGACGTGAGTTCGAATCCAAGTGTCACTCGTGGTTATGGTTCATGATCCACTGACACCACTGATACAAGGGCGGTGGAGTAGCCTAGTGGTTAAAGCGTTTGCGCGTCACGCCCAAGACCAGGTTCGATTCCCCACATGGGTACAATGTGTGAAGCCCATTTCTGGTGTCCCCCGCCGTGATATTGATGGAATATTGCAAAAAAGCGGCGTAAAATCGGTGTGAACGCCTAAACCTCTAGGCTACCCCACCACCTCACCCCTAACTGGAAAACATGAACTTGGCAAAATCTTAACGACACCTGTTAACTTTCAATATTTTCAAGGCTGTTCCTATGTTAGGAAATACACGGTATGTAACAAGAACGATTCCTAATTTGGAATCATTTACTGAAATATTTAACCTAGTCTGTCTCACAGTCCCCGAACCACGTTATTTTCCCTGCAGCCTAGCCTTCCCTGTTGTGCTAAAGCCCTAAACGAAGCAAGTCTAGATTTCCTCAGGTTCAGAATCTCTGGTCTCCCTAAGGCTCCTTTTCAATTTAAATTGGCTTGTTTGTTACTATCAAAATTATATATATTCAGGGAATAAGCCTTAGTCTACATTTAACCGTATGCTTTTATTTTCTTGCAGATCCTTTTGAAAAAAAGCATTATGAAACGAAAATTTGTGAACGTAATTCTAAATACCTACATCACAATATTATTGTTGACCAATCCAATATAAGAATTCGACAACAGCATATTTCATCTGACCACTGAGGAATTATAATTACAGCACTTATGAAACAGCCAATGGTTCGTGGAATACGCGCCACGTGACAACAAACGCGGTCACATGATCGCACAATCACTGATCCGGAGATGTCCCAGTCCGATGTGAACAGTGAAATAGTTCACTCCGGCGCATGACCTGGTATGCGAGCGAGGCCGAAGAGGAGTCTGTGTGGAGATCGCTACAACGTAACTCAGCTGAAACGTTTTACAAAGAATCGCCAATTTCCCTGTTCTCGGGAGGAACGAGTTTTGGTGAGCACAGCTTTCAAGACATAATTGACTTCACTGCACTGAGACTCAATTACTCAAGTACAAGAAAAATGCCAGTTTAAACAGTAAGCTAATGCGTGTTACCTCATCTTGTTTACCTTATTTTGAGAAACATCTCGGTGCCCGTGTTTGCATAGAATAGTGCGCATGTTAATATTTACATATGTATTTTACAGTAGAGTTTCAGTGTAGGAAAGGACAAAAGGTCTTGAAGAAAGTCACAATACCAAGGCAATGTAATATTATGGCATTAACATCAAATTTAGATTTTTGTAATAGTCGCTCTTTTCTGTCTGTTACAGTCGTGTTCCAATCCTGACAGTTTCCACAGGTTAATTGATCTTAATTGTCCTATGTCTGGCTGTTGGTTATTGGTTCATACTCCTCCTATAGCTGATTCCAGGTTATTGTCTTATAGCTGATTGCAAGGTATTGGTTCATAATTGTCCTGTAGATGATTGCAAGGTATTGGTTCATAATTGTCCTGTAGATGATTGCAAGGTATTGGTTCATAATTGTCCTATAGCTGACTGCAAGGTGTTGGTTCATAATTGTCCTATAGCTGACTGCAAGATGTTGGTTCATAATTGTCTTATAGCTGACTGCAAGGTGTTGGTTCATAATTGTCCTGTAGATGATTGCAAGATGTTGGTTCATAATTGCCCTATAGCTGATTGCAAGGTATTGGTTCATAATTGTCCTATAGCTGACTGCAAGTTATTGGTTCATAATTGTCCTATAGCTGACTGCAAGGTATTGGTTCATAATTGTCCTATAGCTGATTGCAAGGTATTGGTTCATAGTTGTCCTATAGCTGACTGCAAGATGTTGGTTCATAATTGTCCTGTAGATGATTGCAAGGTATTGGTTCATAATTGTCCTATAGCTTACTGCAAGGTATTGGTTCATAATTGTCCTATAGCTGATTGCAAGGTATTGGTTCATAATTGTCCTGTAGATGATTGCAAGGTATTGGTTCATAATTGTCCTATAGCTGACTGCAAGATGTTGGTTCATAATTGTCCTGTAGATGATTGCAAGGTATTGGTTCATAATTGCCCTATAGCTGATTGCAAGGTATTGGTTCATAATTGCCCTATAGCTGATTGCAAGGTATTGGTTCATAATTGTCCTATAGCTGACTGCAAGGTGTTGGTTCATAACTGTCCTATAGCTGACTGCAAGGTATTGGTTCATAATTGTCCTATAGCTGACTGCAAGATGTTGGTTCATAATTGTCTTATAGCTGACTGCAAGGTGTTGGTTCATAATTGCCCTATAGCTGACTGCTAAGGTATTGGTTAATAATTGTCCTATAGCTGACTGCAAGGTATTGGTTCATAATTGTCCTTTACCTGATGGCAGGTTATTGGTTCATAATCGTCCAATAACTGACTGCAAATTATTGGTTCATAATTGTCCCATAGCTCATTTTTATTGCTAGCTACATGTCGTGGTCATGTAACCGTCATATTGCTAACTACAGGTCGCGGTGATAGATCCTTACATATTACTAACGACATTTTGTCGACAACAGTCATATTATTGACAACAGATTGTGCTATACATGGAGTACTGCTGACAATACAGCCTACCGTCCATGTCCTAGTCAGTCATACACACCCGGAAACAAATATATCCAAGAAAGCCCATGCAAGTCTAGAATATGTGGAGGGTCTAGATGTCAACAGTTTATGGAAATGAAGAAAATCCCAGGGCTCCTTTTCATTATATTTTATGATTATTATTAACGAACCGGTTTTTTTCTGTAACATATGTTTATTTCAGAGACTTGTTAGTCTTTCCACGTCCTTCATTCCCCTATTAGCGGCTATGTTAGATACTATGCTAGGATGTTAACAGTTCTAATGGCTAAGGTCCAGGCACATAATGACCGGTTCTTGTCTCCCCAGATCCACGTGGCATGACCCCCCTCAAAACAGAAGCCGGCTAATGAGTGGGCGATGATAAAACCTTGCCAGAAGGAAAGCTGAAGCGTGAGGGGTGCTTGGATTACTGTAAGCGGAGAATACTTGTTCAGTAGATGAGCCTTCTACACCACAAAACAATGAATGAATCCTCAAAGCGAACAGAGTTCTATGATATAAATAACATCAACATATTGGGTCGCTGATTCACAGTGGGGCCTTACCCTTTCTCCTTGTAAAATACCTCTACAGGCGGTTAGCATGGCAGGGGTGACTTGTCGGGGATGACTTGTCGGGGGAGGAACGACCCTTACCGTACTTGTGGACCCCCACAGCGACAGTGAGGGGCTGGAAGGGGAAGTGGAGGCGCGAGGGGGAGAGAAGGATTGAGTGCAGGCGCGGTACAGGGTTCCACAGACGCCTTGTGTCTCGCTCATCGCTTGGTGCACGACGTGTTTTCATTCCCGCTCTACGACGCGAGGATCATGGCCGGTGATGATGGAGTTGTATGTAATGTGGTGGGAGTCGTGTGTTGTGCAGGAGGTGTCCGGTGCACGTCTTCGCGCAACCTGGAGCAAATAGTTTTATGAAATATCATGCTCAAGCTCTCGTGTGTCTGTGATAGTTGTATCTGATTCAGTGGAGATTTCAGTGCAGGATTTGTGATCGAAGACTTGTACGGATTATAATCTCATCAACATGCATCACCAGGGTCTGGCCGGTCACGTCATCGTCATCTCAGTCATTATGACCTTGACTTTAGGGGAGACAACTCTTCCACCCCCAACCCCAATACCAACTCCCACGGACAAGCTGGAAGAGACTGTCATTACCTCAATACTGAAGATAGTGGACTTAAAGTTTGAAACTTTGAGTTCTCGAATTGCTCAGATGGAACGGGCGTTGAACGGGTTACAGTTTTTCAACATTCGTCAGTTCCGAGGAGTCACCAACACGCTGCAGACGACAGCAGCTCTCACGCAGGCCATGCATTCTAAACTCGGAGCAAATGACCTTGAAACAAGAACACTTAAGTCTACCGTCACTCGGATTGGCCATGACATAAGTTCTCTAAAAGAAACAAACTCTAAAAATTTCCAACAGTTGGAGCGTTCTATTGCGTATATAAACCGAAACATTGAAAAGAAAACAAACGAATTGATGACGGCTCTTGATGGCCTAGACGCCGGGAAACGTGGGACTGAAGAAGAAGCAATTGAACAGGCGTATACAGGACGACAAGAAACCGTTTTAAACTGTTCAGTGGATATAAAAGTTTTAGAAGAATATATAGATTTACGCTTCAATCATCTGAGAAATCAGTCCCATTTTCAGTATGAAAATTTACGAAACCAATCGAATGTGCAGTTTGATAAGTTAAAATACCTCTCACAATCCCACTATGGGGGTTTGCGAACTCAGAGCGAGAGCCACACCAACAAACTGAAACATCAGTCCGCGAGTCAGTTCGACAAACTGAAACTTCAGTCCGAGACCAACTATGAAAGGCTGACAAACCAGTCTCAGGTTTATTTTAACAGTCTTAAATTCCAAGCTCAGAGTCAGTTTAATCTTATTTCAAATGTCAGTCAATCACGGACAGTTGAAAAGTCGCAGGAGACTTATTCTCGCGGGGATGATGTGTTCATTGACAACGAGATGCTCTTCCACGCAATCACGAATATGACATCACATGTCGTGCAGTCAGTCAGTTTCATCCGCCACACTGACAGCATGTTGGAGCAAATCATTTCAAACACTGAGACGTTGGCGTACGAACAGGGGAAGCTTCGAAAGGATGTCGTCGAAGTGGTCTTACAATCACCACGAGGCAGCGAACAAACCGACCCACCTAACAACCTCCTTCCAACAGGTGAAAGTCAAACAAACGTGGGTCAAGGTCGCCTGCGCACAGAGGGTGCGCCTGGGTGTACACTTCCGGAAAGTGTACTTAAGGATATTGCAAAGTTTTCGAAAAATGGGTCCCAGTTGTTTGAAATATTAACTGATCTTGCTCAGATGAGTCAGGTGTCATTGTCATCTTCTCTTGTCGAACTTCAGGACGAACTCCTCCAAATGGAGGAGACTCGGGCCAGACTAGAGAAGGAGACCAAACTACCGCCGTCCTACGGTTCGGGAGACGCTAACCTTGCCCTTCAGAAAATCCTCAATACGTCGAAAGCAACGCTGAAAATGGTCGAGGCAATGGCGTCGAACACTGGCTGGATTCCGTACATCTTTCACAACATTCAGTACGTTGAAGGTCAGCTGAACAGGTCGATGTCCGTAACAACACGATTCCTAACGGAACTCCGAGGCCTGTCAAGTAAACTCAACCGACCTGATCCGAATGCGCAAACTCAGGCGGGACTGTCCAATAATGTCCCGTCTGAGAGCGAGAGGGAGCAAACGAAACGGAAGTGCAATCAACCAGGGCGACGTGCTTGACTTTATATATGACACGAGTGTTAAACTGAAGAGGATTATGCCTGCACTGACAAGACTCATAGCTGAACCAGGTAAGAACGGATCTAGTTATATCTATCAAGGTGCGGTTGTACAAAACAACAAGCGCTAAGACTACTATAAGTCTATGTTATGGTATATGGGGTTACGGTCACCATAGCGCTAAGATCGGTTTGTACAACGGCACCCTGCACAAACAATAGGCATATGCATGCTTTTACAGAACATTCTAGTTTCTCATTGCTCAGTTGGGGCGGTGGGGTAGCCTAGTGGTTAAAGCGACCGGTCGCTTCGCTGGTTCGGTTTGATTCTCAACATGAGTACAATGTGTGAAGCCCTTGGTGTCCCCCGCCGTGATACTGCTGGAATATTGCTAAAAGCGGCGTAAAGCCATACACAGTCACCCATAGCTCAGTGACATTATTAAGTCACATTTCGTTGGTGCACCAGATTCCGATTTCTTGCACAGTTAATTCCACTGTAGCCAATGTCTCTACAGAAAAGGCTTTTAAAAAACATTCCAGCTTCTCACAGCTCAGTGACTGTCCTGCTATCCGTTGACTCACTTACACAGGTACACACGTTTTACTCACTCAGATACACTGACATTCACTCACTCACACAACAAACACACAGGCATTCACTCATTCACACAACACACACAGATATTCACTCACTCACACGGGTACACGATTATCCAATCGCTCACACACATGCACACATACACAAGTATTCACTCACACAACAAACACACAGGTATTTACTCACTCACACAGGTACACAGGTATTCACTCACTCACACAAGTATACGTTTTCACTCACCCCTTCGTGTAGTTATTTACTCTCTCTCTCTCTCACACACACACACACACACACACACATACACACACAACTATCCACTCATTCGTTCATCCTGTTAAACAGTTGCCCCCTCTCTCACACATCTACGTATCCACGCACCCACTCACATTGCACTCCTCGCCACCCAACTAAACAGCTGCGTATCCATTCACTCAATCATTCTACACCCACTAACTCACCTAACCTTCCATCATTTACGTTCGATCAACTCATTCATTCTTCCAACCACCAAGTCACTCACTCCCCCAACCACCAACTCACTCTTTCTCCCAACCACCAAATCACTCACTCTTCCAACCACCAACTTATTCACTCCCCCAACCACAAACTCACTCTTTCTCCCAACCACCAACTCACTCACTCTTCCAACCACCAACTCACTCACTCCCCCAACCACCGACCCACTCTGATAGTCTCTCTCACACTCCCAGACTAACGCTTAGTCTACGAATATATATCATTTTGATTGTAACAAATAAACCCATTTAAATTGAAAAGGAGCCCCAGTGAGACCAGAGATCCTTAACCTGGGGAAATCTAGACTTACTTCATTTAAAGCGTTAGCATTGCAGGGAGGGCTAGGCTGTAGGGGAATTAATGTGGTTCAGGGACTGTGAGACAGACTATCACAGTCCCTGAACCACACTATTTTCCCATCAACCCAACACTATCAGCCATACTAAAGCCCTTAATGAAACAGGTCTATATTTCCTGGTTCATATTCATCAGGTTCATATTCTCAACTGGAGCTTTTTTCAATCTAAATGGGATTATTTGTTACTATCAAGATTATATATATTCAAAGAGCGTCTATCTGTCCAACCATTTCATTCAGTCAGCACGTCTCTCCACGACTCACTGCCATCTTTAACGCCCGCCAAACCCTCCTTAGTCTAAATGGCCTTTAAGTGATGTGCAAGCTCCAGCTCCTGACCCCCCTAACTCATTCACCAGATAGACGTTAGGCTTCCGCTCATCCCGGCAACACGGCTGTAATGACAGTCGAGAAACACGATACCCACTGACTCCAACCTTGTTTCCACAATAACATGCTTCAAATGTCGAACAAGAGTTATAAACAGTGTATACATCAAGCCCAGGAAGTGTGGCGTTGTAGTAACTCCTGAAAACATGGCGTAAAGGGTGAACAACCGACGATCGTTCCCGCAAGACTCCCTTACAATCTAGAGTGAGTTTAGTTTAACCCTAGACTAAGGCTTAGTGTCTGAATATATATAATTTTGATAGTAACAAACAAGTCCATTTATATTGAAAAGGAGCCCTAGGGAGACCAAAGATTCAGAACCTGAACCTGAGAAAATCCAGACTTGCTTTATTTAGGGCTTTAACACTGCAGATAGGGCTAGGCAGACTAGTTTAACCCGTACACCGCTTTTAGCAATATTCCAGCAATATCACGACCGGGGACACCGAAATGAACTTCACACCGACCCCGAAACAAATATACCCATGCTGGGAAAGCAAGTCTAAAACATGTGGCAAGTCTAGCTTACCCCAGTTTCTGAAATTGAGAAAAGTCTCTGGCTCCTTGAACTACATTTTATGAATTTATTCAATAAACCGTTTTTGTCTGTAAAATATGTTCATTTCAAAGACTAAATTTTAGTCCAAAGAGTGAGTGAGCGGGGTTTTACGTCGGTTTTAGCAACATTTCAGCAATATCATGGCAGGGACACCAGACATTTTCTGAAGACATTTCCGGAATCGAACCCGCCCGTTCAGCGTGCCGAGCGAACGCCTAAACCACTAGGCTACCTCATCTCCCCTTTAACATAGACGTACGTGGGCTATTGTGTACTTGAAATCGTAAATAATTTACAACTTGATATTTTGGCGATAAAACAAATAATTGACATTCTGGAGACAATAATATATGTTGGATTTTCTTGCAACGTGATGAAGATACTATCATGGAACGGCAAACGCGAATTTTAAGAACAAATTATATTATGTTATGATGAGTTTAAACACAAGTGCTCAAGATTGTAAATTATCAGCAAGATATTCTATTTTATTATTTTTCTGTTTGTTTTTTGGTTTTGTTGAAAACATCTCAGTAAATGTGTAACTGTAAAACAATGAATGCTATAGTGTTGAAATAACTTTAGCAATAAACCATGTCACCATTATAACACTTACAGTGCCAAGGTACGTATTGCTGAATGATTGAGTAAGGATTGGTTTACTGACACTCAACAGAGTGAGTGAGTGAGTTTGGTTTTACGCCGTTTTTAGCAATATTCCAGCAATACCAGGACGGGGGACACCAGAAATGGGTTTCACACATTGTACCCATGCGGGAATCGAACCCGGATCTTTGGCAAAGACCCGGGTTCGATTCCCCACATGGGTACAATGTGTGAAGTCCATTTCTGGTGTCGCCCGCCGTGATATTGCTGGAATATTGCTAAAAGCGGCGTAAAACCAAACTCACTCACTCACTCATTGTGAGACCAAATGTCCCTCATTCACATGGCTTTGGTCCCACTGGAGTTGTATTTGTAACGACAGAGAGGCAGTGGGGTAGCCTAGTGGTTAAAGCGTTCGCTCGTCACTCCGAAAGCCAGGGTTCGATTCCCACATGGGTACAATATGTGAAGCGTATTTCTGGTGTCGGCCGCCGTGATACTCACTCACTTACTCTCAGATGAGATTTTAGTTTGCTTCATTTTTGCAAACGACTTTACCATGCCTGCTATCATCACACTGCGACAAGCAGTTACACGAGTTTGGCCACATACTGAACATCAATTACGGTCAATGTTTATTTTCACTCAACAATAAAAGTAGTTTCAGAATGCTGGGTAAACTTGATCAATGACGGACGTGATATTTTCAATAGGTGTTGGTTTCTGGAATTGGTTTCGTTGTTCTGATAAAAACCTCGTTAATTTGGTCGGACTGTTCCAAATGACATACGAATGACCATCTCATAGGAGCAGAATAGTGTTACTGAAAACAAACACACGCTCCCGACAAAACCGTACAACGAGGTTTCCGGAATAACCAGGTTTCAGTGTATATAGGAAGACAAATATATATTTGTTCCTCGAACACTTTATTTTTGTTTGTTTATTAATTTCAATCTCTATATTCAAGAGCAGATTCATTAATAGGAGGGAAAGTGGGGTAGCCTAGTGGTTAAAGCGTTCGCCCGTCACGTCAAAGACATTGGTACAATTTATGAAGCCCATATCTTGTGTCCCCCGCCGTGATATTGCTGGAATATTGCTAACAGCGGCGTAAAACTGAACTCACTCAGTATATGGATGTTGGTTACCGTCGCGTTCAGCTATGTTCACGGTAGACATGTATATAGCTGACCTTAAAAACCAGTGGTTACTATGGAACTGACCAATATTGGGACTGCATCCATCGCATCCTCATCTGGTTCGGATCCGTATCAAGCCAGTGTCTCAGTAACTATTGCCCCTGAATATTAACTGGAATGAACGAGGTTGTATGAAACCCTCTGGAAAGTCGTTTAATCGAAATTGTATCTTTGGCATGATTCAGAGAAAGTGTCCCCTTTCTTTCGTAAAAGAAGTACGTTACTTCTCTAAATTTAATAGTAAATATTGGTCCTTAGCCAACTGAGACTTTTATCACGTCTGTATTTGCCTATAACGTAGAAATCAGCTTGAGCAGAAACTTACCCTCGTTTATATTTTTGAAGAATAGCATTCCTGCCTAGCAAAATTCAGACTATTTCAAATTTTTCGATTTAGCAAGTGCATGTGTATTCAATTTTGGTATAACTCCTACACATACAAGTATAATCCCGAAATCTACACAGGTGACAAATTGCGATTTCATTTTGCTCACTTCCTAAATTCTGCAGATCCTGCGTTCGACAAGGGCCTTAACTCTACCGTCTCATTAGCCAGAAGCAAGGGCTTGAGATCGCAGAGAAACAGAAGCTAACATTCTGGCTATGAAAACATTTCTTTAAGATAACTGATAAACTGATAACTTCAAAAGAAGGCCGGTTCACTGATTTTCTGATGGCGTTGAACAGATATTACTGCTAATAATAATAATAATAATAATAATAGTGCCTATTTATAGTGCGCACAAATCCACACTCGTAAGCATGCTCATGGCGCTAACTGCAACCATAGCGATTTGAAGTTGGTTGTAATATTATTAGGGGTCATTTAATTTCAAATAT